CAGCAGCAGCAGCAGCAGCAGCAGCAGCAGGGCCGTGCTTTAAGTGCGCAGCTGCGACGTGCCTACCGGTGGGCGCTGTGGCGCTCCTACAGCTGGCTGCTGCGCACTTTGCTGCAGCAGCAGCAGCAGCAGCCGAATCCCCTCAATTGCTGCTGCTGCAACAGCAAGTGGACGCAGCGGAAATTGGCAGCCGTAGCAGCAGGCAGCAGCAGCAACAGCAGCAGCAGAGAAAACTGCAGCAACAAACTGCTTGCTCCCGTTTGCTACCCCCCGTGTCTGTCAACGGAGCTGCAGCAGCAAGTGCAACAGCAGCAGAAACAGCTGCTGCTGCAGCTGCAGCAGCAGCAGGATGATCTCCAAGATGAGTGGACGTTGCTGCCAGAAGCTTCGGCACAGCAAGACGCGCAGCAGCAGCAGCAGCGCGAACAGCTGCAGCAGCAGCAGCAGCAGCCGCGGAAGAACCGCATAATATCTCTGGGCCAGTTCAGGCCAGAGAAAAGGCAGCAGCAGCAAATAGAAATCCTGAGGTGTATGTACACCTCGTTCCCGCTGCTGCTGCCTCCCCACACCCACTTGCTGCTGTGCGGCTCCGTGAGGGGCGCAGCAGACTGGCGTTTGCTGCAGCACTGCAGAGCTGTGGCCCAAGGCAGCAGCAGCAACAGCAGCTGCTGCTGCAGCTGCTACAGTAGCTGCTGCTGCTGCAGCAGCAACGAGGAGGAAGAAGCAGCAGCAGCAGCCCTGAGAGGCGAGACGCTGCTGCTGCCAGCCCTACGCGACGCAGCGCCCCTCAATGTGACGACAGCAGCAGCAGCAGCAACAGCAGCAGCAGCGACAGCAGCAGCAGCAGCAGCAATCGAGGAGAAAATTGCAGCAGTCATGAAATGCGAGGGTGCAGCAGATGCCTTTTGCTTCTTTTTAGTTAATCCGAGCGATCTGCTGCTGCAGCACATGCTGCGGACTGCAAAGGTCAGGTTGTTGCTGCGGCAGCTGCAGCAGCAGCAGCAGCTGCTGCTGCTG